TGGATGGGTGGGTGGATGGGTGGATGGGGGGCTGGATGGGTGGCTGAATGGGTGGATGGGTGGGAGGGAGGGAGAGGTAGATGAACAGAGATGTACTATACATTCCAGCATCACTTACCACAAGACAGGTCAGGAGGTTCTGTGGGGTTACAAACTGGGTGGCTAAGAGAAAGAGAGTAGAAAGAAAAAGGACAGATTCAAGTCAGTTCTAGCCTACGCCAACTTCAGCCCACTATGGCTGCCCACCATCAGCACTTAGGGAAGGAGAAAAGCAAAGTGGAGAGAAGAGTAGGCGCCGATGTTATAGGGCTCGTGGCGTTTTGACTTAAAGCCTAAAAATCAAGCCATTATGTTTTTTGGTTTAAGCACACAGACACACACGTGCATGCACACCGTATGAAGAGCTGAGCAGACGCAACCTTGACTTCCACTGGGATTACAAGTCATGGGTGCGGGAGGCAAACGGAGAGTGGGCCTCAGAGTTGGAGCTAAGGGAGAACCAAGAGTCGGGCTTGTCCACCCACTCATGACCGTCTAATTCATACCAACGTGTTCATACCTTGACTAGTGCTCTAAAGTAAAGACTATAAAAAGGAAGAAGGAATTGTGTCTGGAATGTCCCTCTTCCAAACAGGTCTCCTTGTCACCTACAGGTGCTGCCGCCCCAATCCCTGGTCACCCAATCCTGGCCTCGGTTCTGGCCTGCACCTCCACCCCTTCTGCACACCCCTCCCCAGCCCTCCAGGGCCTCCACCTGCATCCTCCCCGCGCCCTCCTCCCGCGGCTGCACAATCACACCCTGTACCCCAGATGCACACCCTTGCACTTTGTTCTTTTAAAAATTTATTTCCTTATGCACATAGAACTAGAGTGCAGGCCAGAGGTGCAGGAGCTGAGAGGATTCACCAGAGACAGCGCAAGCTGCAGAAGAGGCGGATTTGCTGAAATGCACGGCTGAGGGGAACAGTGGACGGGACACAAGTCTGCTGCACCATGTGGGTCAGCTCCCTGGCTGGGGGGCTGAAGATGGCTTCACAGTGCTGCGCTCTAACCTGCTGCGCCACCAGGGAGGGCCCTGCATACCCCTGGACTTACGCGTGAGGTGGAAGTTGCTGAGGTAGGGGGCCTGGCCCTGGGCCTGGGCCTTCTGAGCCATTTCCACGACTGTCTTACTCAGGGGCACGAAGGCGAAGAGATTGCTGGGCTCACACATTATGGTGACCAATCTGGGCAAGGGTACCTGGCAGGGGGTGTGCAAGGCACTCACTGGCAAGCCCCTGATAAGCCCAGCCCTAAGTTCTCCAACCCACAGCCTTGTCTTCCTCTCTGGAAGGGCATCTGAGGTCTGCAGACAGACACACACACACCCCACATCCCACCATCACCACCAGCCCCACCACCACCACGCCGTATCGATCAACGATAACCAAGGTCCTGATAAAAATCACAGCAGGAAGGACTTGGTCAGATAGAGGGGCTTCCCGAAGTCTGGAATCCACAGGGCAACATCCCAAGGGCAGAAGACGTGCTGAAGGCCAGGAGGCAGAGCCCGCCAGGAGGAGGGCAGCTGTGACTCCAGGAGAGAGCATCCCAGCGGTCCTCTTCCCTTGGGCCCTTCACTCAACTCTGACCCACACATCGGCTCCTCTAGGCCCAGACTCCGCAGTTTCCTGTGACTGGCAGGCTGCGTTTTCTCCCCCTTGTGGACAGATGGGGAAACTGCAGCCCACACAGCAACTGACAGGACACAGAGCACAGCCGGCTTCCCCGCACACAGACAACTTTCAGGGGAGTCTAGGCACTTGAACGGGAGTTCTGGAGTTGGGAGGGCAGAATGTAAGAGGCTGGAGAGAGGAGGGGGTGAGCTCTGGGGGTGCGGAAATGGCCCTTTTGCCCCTGACTGCTTGTACCATTTGGAGAATCTTTGAACACATTATTCGGACGTCCTCTTCATTCTGGAATAGAAAAGATGTTAAGTCTGAAACCTGTGCCAGCTGCCCTCCTGCTCAGGTGATGCCAAAGCCCCCCCCCACCCCAAGCAGCAGCCATACACCCCTCTCATTTCCCTCCTGCTCCCACTTCGAAGTTTTCTTTAGCTCCCTCCGCCAGGCCTCCTGCCCTCCACCCCACCCCGCCCGCCTTGCTCACAGAGTACTCAGATTCACAGAGCTTGATGATGATGTAGTCCAGGATCGAGTTGCTCTGGGGCAGGGACAGGTAGTCGTGCCGCCCCAGCATCTCGATGAAGCTCAGGAGGGCCTTCCTCACCTGCGGGGTCACAGACCATCAGAGTGAGAGGGGATGGCGTGGCAGGGACGGCCGGTGTGCCGCCTGGGGTTCAGGTAAGGACATGGAGGAGCAGCCAGCGAGGGGTGTCTTCAAGGGACTCAGTCTCTGGTCCCCAAGTCCAAGTGTGACTCTTCAGCAGGTTCTGGGTGGTGACCGGGCACCGCTGGCTGAGCCTGATGAGACTGCATGCCGCCCGGGAGTTCCAGCCCACTCAGCTCCCACCACCCTCCTGGAGAACCGCAAGCGCCTACTTCTGCACCCCTCACATCCCGAGAGACGGGATGTTGGCAGGAATGGTGGGTGGTGCGGGTCTGAGTTCAGGATGTTCTGGGCTTTGGAGGGAAAGCAGGCACAAATCCCACAAGCTCTGGGGGTCGACCCTGCGAGATCCCCAGCTCTCCATTCACCTCCTGAAGGCTGAGGACTTTGCTTTCAGGGGTGATGCGTGGTCCTTGGCTTGGTGCCCAACCACCAGCTCTCATGCCCCCTGCCTGCCTCACATAACCTAAAGCTGGCAGCTGACACTCCAGCCCAAGCTGCAGGGCTTGGTGTAAAGACGGTGTCTGAACCTCGTGCCAGACACATCTGAGGTCTTCTCTGCAGACGCAACTCTCAGGAGACAGAACTAGAACACCACATCCCGGTAGGATACCCCGGGACTTTCCACCGAGAAGCCTCAGAAGACAGGCAGGAGCCACCTGTCGAGCAGCCACCTGTCAAACCTTCCTCAGGCTTTGAAGAGTCCCAAGGTAGCAGCCTGAGGCCTGTTGGGGGGCCTCACTCCTCATTCCCCCACAACCTTCCCCTCTGTGTTTACACTACCTTGAGGTCTCAAGAAAGCAAGCACCCTCCCAGCCCGGGCGTCCAGTCTCTTGCTCACTGGTTTGAGATCCTTTTGAACCATGACGATGGTTGAGTGCATGATCTCATTCCTCAGCTTTTCCGACTGGGGCACTAGAGAAAAGACAGGTGTGGGGCCTCAGTACCCTCCTGCTGCCTCTGGCGCTTTGGGGGTGTAAGAGGACAGCTGCGGGCCTTGGGGGGCCCTGAGGTACTGGGCTTCAAAGGCCAGGGGCATCTCCAGCGGTTATCTCCGCCACCCCTCTGCTTGCAGCCGGACTTAGTAGGGACCTGAAACGATGTTTATCCGGTTGACTCTGAGCACGCCCATGCAAACCCCTGCACACAGCCTGCTCGCTCCAAGCAGCCGACTGCACACTGCCTTGAATCATTTCACTGTGCGCACCCCAAGGTCCTTACTCCACAGTAGGATCCTGGAGATGGAAAGCGCCCTACTTCTAGGTGTGTTTTTGGTGCCTCGCGCTGTGCAAGGCACACAGCTTCGACTGAGGCTGAAGCCCACTTTGTGGGATATCATCCTAGACTGACCTCCCGAAAAGCGCCTGGGTGGTAGACACGGGTCAAAACACTACATTCAATCTTTTCTTCAAAACAACCCTGAATTGGGCCCTCCCTGGTGGCGCAGCGGGTTAAAGCACAGCACTGAGAATCTAAAGCCGCTTCCGCATGAGTTCGATTCCCGCCTGCCCCAGAGGTGACCACATGGCGCGGCAGACCTCTCCTGACCTGCCCGCTGCTCCCCTCAGCAGTGTACTTCGTCGATCTGCCTGTTCTGCTCCCCACTCTGTCTCTGGTGAAGCCTCTCACCGCCCCTGAGCCTCTGGCCTGTACCCCAGTTCTGTATGCCCAAATAAATAAATCTTTAAAAAAATAAAAAATAATAATAAATAAAACAGCCCTGAAGGCAGGGTTTACTTCTACCTCCATTTCGCAGGTGGTGAAGGCCAGCTGCCCAAGTGTGCCTACCTACGGCTGAGAGCCCATCAAACCCACGCTGACTTCTACACTGTGTGTTTAATGACTCCAGGGGCTGGTGCCCAGAGAAGGGAGGTCAAGTAGGAAAGAAGACCCCCAGCCAGGCCAAGTCACACTCACCTTCCAGGAACAAATCCATGAAGACGTGGAGAGCCGACTCCACCAGGGCCGGGTCCTTGGACTCCATGGTCTTGCGTATTAACAATACCACCTGGTCATTGTACAACTTGGCTATCAGAGGGTGAAGGGGAGGGAATCAAGGGAATCAAGGGCGTGTTTAAGCAGCAGGTGGTAAGCAGAAGTAAATCATGCTCACAGCAAACCACTGATGCCATGAACTGGGTAAACTGGGGTTCATCAGGTTGGTGAAGTTCAGGAGGAAGAGAGCGAGCTGGTGTTTTTCCAGTATTTGCCATGTGCCAAGCACGGGGCCCACGCTTCACCCGGACTGGAACTCGGCCCTCTCTGCCCCTGTGCCACAGCTCAGACACCTCTCGTGATCATCAAAGCCATGGCTGCAGTATCAGCTTTTGAGCTGGGGTTCATGAAAGGAAGCCAACGCCCGGGGAAGGGGTGGGGGCAGAGGAGGTGGCGGGCGAGGTCTGTGCTTCCCGAGGTTTGTTTTGCTTCGGACACGGCTCCCCTGGATGGCTTGGCAACTTTTCTAGAGGGACAGAAGCCCCATTCCAGGGCAGGGAGTGAGCACCACCCCACCCCCGGGGCCAGGGGAGTGTTACTCACTTAGGACACTGAAGGTCCTGAGGACCAGGAGACTGTTCTGGACAGAGTAAGAATCTGCGCTGTTTACTCTGATGTTCAGCTGTGGGGAGAACAAAGCCAGGAGACTGAGAGGACCCAGAACAGTGGCCCTAGAGCAGATGGGGACACCAAGGCACGTGGCCGTGAGACAGTGCTGCTGGCCATAAGGAGAGCAGGAAAATAGAACCAAGGAACCCGTGTTCCCGCCCCCAAGGGGGAGGAGCGAGTGGGCACCACACTAGGTATGTGGAAGGTGGGCTTGTCTTCTTCCTCCTACGCCCACTCAAGTGTACACCTCCGAGAGTCGGGGTGCAGCCCAGAGGCTCTGACATTTCCCACAGGTGAGATGGAGTGGTTTGAACCTCCTGCCTTTTCCCAGAGTTGGGGGGGGGAGCAAGTCCAGTCTCCCTCAAGAAGCAGGCAGAGTGGGGCCTGCACCCCTCCTAGACAGCACCCCACTCTGTGCTCAGAATCCAGGCAGCGCCTGTTGGGGGAACCCAAGTGTGGTGAAGGTCGCCCCGGCAGAGACTCCTGAGCCGCGTGGGGGATGTCACGGGGCTGGGGTGACCGTCTCCGAGGAGAGGGTAAGCCCAGGACCACACGTCCCTGCTCTCACCTGCCTGAACAATATGAGCATTATGTTTCCTAGCTGGGATTCCAAGTTCACACCGCCACAGCCGCTGAGAGCCAGGGAGTCCACGAGCTGGCAGATACACTGTGTGCGGAAAGGACAGGCAGCACGCTGGCCAGCGGGCCCCCCACTCCCACCCCACAGTCTCCGGGGAAGGCCCCTCTCGGTGCCCCTGTGAGGACCTCCCCGGCCGGCGGAGTGTCAGGGACCTTCCCCAGGAAGTCACAGGGCCTTGTCCTTCCAGCTAAACACAGCGGCGACCTGCCCTGCCCTATCCTGGCCCAGACAGCGGTCCTGATTCTCGAATACTCTCATCGCCCCATGGAAACCCAGAGCAGCTCAGCACACAGAGCCGTGGCTGACTTCAAAGAAGCGGGTAAAGTCCTCCTGGCCAACACAAGCCCTGGTTCTCCTTCTCTCGCCCCGGTCCTGAAAACCAGGCCTGAAAGTCCCCGTCAGTGCCAGCTCCCTGGTGGGCTTGACTAGTCTGAGAGCTCTACAAGTAGCCTACAAGCATTCCTTTTGGTTTTTAGTTTTCTTGATGTCTCACTGACATCATAAACTGCACGTGTTTGAGGTGTTTCACACAGGAAACCATAGCCTTGGTCAAGGTCACGAACATGCCCATCACCCCCAAAGTGGCCTTCTGGGAATCCCCTGATTTGCTCTTCTGTCACCACAGATCTATCACTTACTTTTTAAGAAACTGTCTAACTTTTTTTAAAACAAGAACTGGGGTACAGGCCAGAGGGGAATCCACCAGAAGACAGCGTGGGGAGCAAAACAGGCAGATGGACTGAAATACACTGCTGAGGGGAGCAGTGCGAGGGACAAGTGAGGTCTGTTGTGCCATGAGAGTCACCTTCCTGGCCAGGGATCAAACTAGTGCTGCAGTGGCTGTGGTAGCTTCATGGTGCTGTGCTTTAACCAGTTGCGCCAACAGGCAGGGCCCTCAATTGACCTTAAAATAGGGAGATTCCCCAGATGGGCTTGATCTAACCTCATGAACCTGATAATCTAGAGCCAAAGGTCAGATACAGGGAAATCAGAGAAAAGCCAAGCAACTGATGGATGTGACTGAATTCCCATAAAACCTTATTTATGAAACAAATTTAATGTCAGATTTGGCCTATAGGTTATGTTTTGCCAACTCCAGCATTAACTATTTATAAAAATTAATATGGAATGCAACTGTGGACTAAAACACAGAAAATTATACATTCTACTAGAACCATAGCTTCCTATGTGACCATACTGCAGAGGCATCTCAGAGGCTGGAGTCAGCAAGACGATAGCTGTTTGCTGTGAGGAAACCCTGAGGTGAAAAGAAAATTCCACAGACTGAGTTCACCCATCATGCATTGCTGAAAGAGAGAGCCTGAGATAATGTCCTGACTGCAGCGTACAGCTATAGGGCCATGTTCTAGAACAAGAAATTCAAGTATCTATCTTCCACACAGATAGCTTTAAGTTGACTGTAAGATAAAGAGATCACTTTGCAAAAAAAAAAAAAAAAAAAATCAATAAATAAAGAGGTCATTGCACTTATGGAGAAGACATGTCCTTTATCATTAGCTGAGAAAATTAGAAACCAACCTACTTTACTTACATTACTAACAGAGAATGTTTGAAATTAATTAGGTGTATTGTTTTCCTTTGCTCAATAATCATTACGTGGTGTCTCTGGGCATATTAGTTACCTATGTAAACCAAGAGTCAACCATGGAGAAATGTGCTGACAGCCTCCAGGTCTGGATCCTCAGCCTGCTCTGAATAGCCTCCTTCATAGGTTGCTCTTTTGACTACACTTTGAATTCACTTCAAGCAATAGTTATTTGGGCAACAGTCTCACCTCCACCCTACTTACCTGGGAGATGTAGAAAGGTGTCACATTGTTGGACATCGTCATCAACCAGCGGATTAACTGGTTCACTTGGTTCTTGAGTTTGGATGGTGCAATGAGGAAGAAGAGGTGGCCAATGATGACCAGGGTCTGCTCTGCCACCTGAGCCCAAGGAGATACACGCACTGGCCTCAGCTCAGGGAGGAATGTGGGGCAAGGCTTGGCGTGGCGCTTTGTACTCTAAGGACCTAGCGCACACCTGGCAAATCAGGGTGATCAGGAGATTAACTGCATATAGAACTGAGTGGACAGTGGCGTTTTCTCTGACTGTGCCCTTGTCTGGATGCAGTCTGGAGGAGCCTGAGGGGAGTCACCTTACTCTCCTGGAGAAGTCTGGTGAGTTACTGTTCCATGGGCATGTGGACAGACACGGTCTTTCCCCACCTCTGGCTCAAGGGTCACCCCTTCTGCCCATCCACCAGACCCCTGCTCTCCCCCAGTCCCACCTTTCCCTTGCTCTTCATGGGCCAACGATTGAAGAGCACCCGGAGAGTGTGGTAGGCCTTGATGGACACCGCCTCCTGTGTGATGTCCATCACTTCATCAGCACTGGCGCCCAGATCCAGGTGCTTCCGAGCGCTGAGGACCAATCCATTGAGTACTGTGTGGGAAGCAGGGAGCTGGGCTGCTCATCACCCTTCTCTTCCCACAAAGGGAAACATCCATACACAGGGGCATTGTCCCCTCATCCCAACCCTAAGAGGGCCTCTGGCCCTCAGGAGAGACCAACCCACTCACCACCCCACCCCCACTCTCTTGCCTTCCAACTGCTGACTCACCCGGGGGTTGTGGGGAGAAAGTGATGGAGGCTGTCAACCCCCCAGCACCCTCCTCAAGCTCGGTCCTTGCCTCAAACCAAGCCATGAAAGGCCAGATGGAGAAAAGGAGCTGCTCACACCTGGCCTACTTTAGATGAGTGCACTCCTGCCCCTTCTCCAGGTTCCTGGGTCCACATTCAGAAAACCCAATCTCTCCCTGCTCTTCTTTCCTCCACCCCTAACTCCCAAAGAAGTTTGCACAGGCCCGCCTGCCGCTCACCCTGACATATGGCCAACATGTCTTCCTCTTCCTGTGCCAGCCTCAGAAGGCGCAGGACATGTTCCCACGTGGTGCCGATGCAGTGGGCTGTACCTGGGGGAGAGTGCGAGAAGAATCCTTGCTCCAGGGAGGGGAGGCGACCGCCTTCACGGACAGACGGCATTGAGGTGGCATTGAGGGGCCGGAAGACCTGGGTTCTGCTCACTAGCTCTGCCTCCAACCTGGAGCAAGTAACTTAATATAGCTGAGCCTCGGCTTCCTCCGCGCCAAGGAGGACCTCGGTACCCGATGTTATGCGTCACAGGAGGGCAATGAGCAGGACGCCATGAGGCCCTGCCACAGCCTGGGCACACACACAGCCTGGGACCCTTAAAGAAACAAACGGCAGCTCTCTGCAGTCGGTGGGACCCTGCCAGGAGACGCGTTTCTGCCTTCGTGGGCCCTGGGCTTGCTGGGCAGCCCAGCCTGAGAGCCTGTGCGTCTCAAACCTCATGCCCAGGTCGGCTAATAACCCCCAGCCTCTCTTGGTAAAAAAAATAAAAAAGGGGGGGGCAGGGGGGCAGGGGTGTTATTTGTCCAGCGACTTGACTTTTCTTGCTCGCTTGGTGTTGGAGGGAGGGACTGGGGTGAGGGAGCCTTTTCTGTTGTTTGTTCCTGTGCCAGGATAGAACCTGGACCTCAGGCCTCGGCCTCACCTGCGCAATAATGGATGTCAGCAAAGTGCACAAGCCAAGCCGTCGCCACAGTCTATATGCACACACTGCCCTCCTCAGCACACAGCTTCAGGGTCCCCAAAACTACAGCACCTGTCACTTATTCTGCTCCCCACACCACCGCTGATTGGGAACTTTCTGTCTCTTCCTTCCATCTACATTTGCTTCCAAGTCGTCTCTCCAGCTCTAGTCTCCTCTGTTGTGATATTTTCCTATTGTGCTGCGCCTGGTCAGTCTCCTTCCTGACCAGGACCCCACAGGGTCCTGGCTGGCTCCTCCCCACCACACACCCATGGCTGCTGAGTGAGATGTTCAGTGGAAGCGCCAGGAGGATGGACACCTACAGCACCCGCCAGACCCTGTCCTCTGTTCAGACTCACTCTCCGCCACAGGGACCCTTACCCGGGCAGCCACTGAGTTTTCCAATGGCAACCAGGAGGCTTCTGGGAGGCAAGTTGTACAGATGGACTCTGTCCCAGAGTTTCTCGATGATCATTCTTGGAAAGTGGGACCCGATCGCCAGCAGGACTGCAGTACATTTCTCCTCCAGGTCTTGTTCTGGTTTCTGGAGACAGGAAGACGTGAGTGTCCCAAGGTTAATCCCCTAGATGAGTCCTCAGGCTTCTGAGAATCAGCCTTGGTCTAGAAGTAATTCTCTTCTATCCAAAGGGAAGGAATTCACCTGCCTCGTCCAATGCTCACCTTTTCAGTGATGGAGCACAAGAGCTTCTTGGAGTGTGCAAGAGCACGAGAAGACAAGAATTCTCTGGTTTGTGTGTTGGGTAAGAGTGGGGATCAGGGTCCCCAGGTCAGGGAGATCCCCGCACAGCAGTTAGTGGGGAGATTGTGGAGGCAACTTTAAAAGGCCCCAGTAGGTCAAGGATTTTGATCAGGAGAGGTATATGGTAAGGAAAGTGGAAAACTGGAAGGAAGGTACCCTAGAAAATAAGACAGCCTGGGCCCTCCCTGGTGGCTCTGTGAAGCTATTCCGGCCCCTGCAGCACAAGTCGATCCCTGGCCAGGGAGGGGATCTCTCCTGTCCCACCCGCTGCTCCCCTCAGCAGTGCACTTCATCAATCTGCCTATTCTGCTCCCCTCTCTGTCTCTAGTGAATCCTCTCACTCTCTCACCTCTCACCAGAGGTGTGGGAGACACACCTCTGGCCTGTACCCCAGTTCTTGTGTGCATAAATAAATAAAAAAAAAAAAGAAGACACCCAATTAATGCAGTGTCAGGAGAGTCAATACAGAGGTAAACAGGTAAACAGGTAAGCAGAGTCATGAGTCATAGTCTACGGGGGGCAAGCAGACAGGTGGGTGAAATAGGTTAGCAGTGGAGATTGGCTGGCTGAGCCGCAGTAACAACAGGAACTGCCCAGGGCATCCCAGGAGGGGGTCAGGACTGAAGACCAAGCCAGATTTTGAGGCCAACAGCCCCAATCCTTCTCCCCTTTCCATCTAACCTTTCGCCCCTTCATTATGTGCAATTCCGTCCAGGTCACAATTCTTGGGACACACTCAAGGGTAAGACGGGCTCTCGCAAACCGTCAGAAGCTGGAGGGACTCGTGTTCCAGGTCCCACTTAGTTCTCAAGTGCAATTACCCAGTAGAAATGGGCTTCTGGGCTCAGACGTAGGGTCCTCTTTCCCTAGCGCCCTCAACCCAGACACACGGGCTCCTCACCACCGTCCTCAGGTACTTGATGATGATATCTGTCACTTTCTGGCACAGTGGAGTTGCCAACTTGTTATTTATGATTTTGACTTCCAGAACCTTGAGGGTTTGTAGGATATTCTCTGCAGACACCTATTGGAGAGAAGGGACTCAAGAAAGGCAGGTTGAAGGCTGGAGATTCCTGAGAACAGCAATCCCTGATAGAGCAAGGCAGGAGAAGAGGAAATCTAGCAGAGGGTGAAGCTGGACCAGGGATCAGTGAGTGGGAAAGAGGTGGTCAGGGCCATGGCGACCAGCCTGGAGGCCAGCACGGACTGTCCTGCTGGGAAGTTCTCCACACTCCTCAGGCACAACGGGTATGTGCCCAAATCGCCTCACTGGTGGAGGTGGTCTCACCAGGGCCAGAGTCAGGAAGGTGTCTGAGTGTCCTCACCTGGCCAGCAACTTGGAGCGCATCATTAAAGTTGTCAGTGAACTTTTCTGAGATATCCCATGCCAATTCTCTGTGAGGGGTCTCTGGGAGGTCTGTCATAGCTATAAATATGCCTGAAAGGAATAAAGAGAGAGGAAGCTGTTTCTCTCCTGCTGGAAGTAGGTATTTCCTTAAAGCTGGGGCCATGTTAGGATGAAAACAAGAATCAAGAAGATACTGGGCCCTCCCTGATGGCGCAACAGGTTAGGACACAGCAGTGCAAGCTGGCCGCAGCCGCTTCAGTGCGAGTTCAAGCCCCAGCCCGAGGTGTTCACATGGCGTGGCAGACCTCTCCTGGCCTGCCCCCTGCACCCCTCAGCAGTGTACTTCGTCCATCTGCCTGTTCTGCTCCCCACTCTGTCTCTGGTGAAGCTTCTCACCACCCCTGCACCTCTCACCTGTACCCCACCTGTATCCCAGCTATGTATAAATAAACCTTTAAAAAAAAAAAAAAGAATAAGAAACCAGGGCCTCCCTGATGGCACAGGGTGTTAAAGTCTCAGCACTATTAAGCTATCACCAGCCACTGCAGCACAAGTTCACACCCCAGCCAGGGAGATGACCCCCATGGCACAGCAGACCTCTCCTGTCCTGCCCGCTGCTCCCCTCAGCAGTGTATTTCAGTTGATCTGCCCATTCTGCTCCCCACTCTGTCTCTGGTGAGTCCTCTCACCCCCGCACTTCGGCCTGTACCCCAGTTCTTGCATGCATAAATAAATTAAAAAAAAAAAAGAATAAGATATCAGAAAATACAAGTTGGGCTCCTTACTTAGACTGCCCCTCACAAACATATCTCAGGGATATGCACCTGCAGTCTTGATTAAAAGTGATAGAAAAACAACAGAAATTTATTTGGTCCAGCTCAGGTTATCTATCACTAGAAAGGATTATTTGTGTTCTGGGTTGTGATTTGTTCACACACTACTTAACATTTTAACAAACCTTATTTTATTCATTTGTAAAATGATGGTGGAGAAATACTAGCAGGCATATAGAAATTAGCTCATAAGTGTTAGGAGCACTCTATGAGGTAATAAATGTAAAACAGGGCCTGCCACGTAGTAAGAACTCAAGGAATGCTGATTATCATTATGATTCTCAAATAGGAACCGGGGGCACCCTGATCCTGTATCTCTGTATGAGAAGAGCTTTTTTACTCATTTTAAGAGCTGGTCTGGACACTGGATTGGGGCAAGGGTACACGAGAGATAACCCAAAAAACAAGTGGAAAGGAAGTGTATGTACAAGGGGAAGAGAGGAGAGGGCGGGAAAAACAGACACCACTTACAGACGAAACTCAGTTTCCCTGGGCCGTGCGGAAATCTAGCTCTATAACTATAACCAACAATACCACTAATTGGAACATGAAATTACTCCATGGGAGACTGGTTTTATAGAAACAGTCTCTCAAAGAGAGACTTTATTTAATGAAATAATGATAACCATTATCCTCAATATCAATTAAAAATGCTTAGGGTGCTTAAGATAACGAAGAAATGAATCCCATTTTAAAAGACCAAAATCTTAAAAAGTGATGACAGACAGACCTCGACTGGAGAAAGAATCAATTAGAAAACTTAAAAGCTAAAAACATAGACATTCAAATTTTAAATCTTAACAAGGTGTAATCAAGACTGAAGTTATGGAAGGAATTAGAAAATAGTTCTTAGGAATTCACCCTACATGCGATGCAGAAAAATAAAATAATTTTAAATGAGGGAAGACATGGAGGATAGAGTGAAAGAACGTCAAGAAATGGTGAAGTCATTTTGGATTTTTTTACTGTTATAAACAAAGTATGAATGAGAAGTCTATTTACTGATTTACTGAATGGTTGAGTCATCGCCCTGTGTCAGGCACTGGTTGAGTCATCGCTCTGCATCAGGCACTGTACGGTAACAATGGACCTGAATGCCCCTCTTAGCAAGCTGCAGTAATTGGGATAAGCGTGAAGACTGGCTTAGCCTGCAAAGCCCAAGTTAGTAACAGATGGGAACCTTTGCCCGTGGCAGTGATCCTGCTGCCCAACGAGGCTAAGAACATTCACAAACCTGTGCTGTGGGAAGACAAGGACAACTAGCTGAGGAAACAATCCAGCAGATGATGATCTTGATGTTACTCTTTTAGCTTCAGATGCTCCAGGAAAAGAAAAAAATAGATCACTATTAATTTGAGGGAGTAAAAAGCAGGGTAGAATTAAAGCATCAGACAACACAACACAAAAGATGAGACAAGGGGCACACCCTGTGGCACAACAGGTTAAAGCGCAGCCCTGTGAAGCTGTCTGCAGCCACTGCAGCTCGAGTTCGATCCCCGGCCAGGGAGCTGACCCACACGGCGCAGCCAACCTCCCCTGACCCCCACCTCCTCCCTGCTGCTCCGCTCAGCAGTGTATTTCAGTGAATCCGTCTGTTCCGCTCCCCGCTCTGTCTCTGGTGAGTTCTCTCACCCCCCGCACCTCTGGCCCACCCCAGTTCTTGTAATCATAAATAAGTCTTTTAAAAAAAAAAAAGTTGAAGAGGGAGGTAATAGGGCAGCGAAGGCCTTACAGATGCTGATCTTGTTCAGGATGAGAGAATCAGTGAGCTTCAACTAGACGTTCCGAATAGGAGCTTAGAATGAATGCTTAAAATTTTCCAGATGACAATATCCTGGTATCATCTGAGTTGCAAACTCTTACTTCTAAATGTTCATTTCCTTTCATTTCTTGCAGGACTTCAAACTCAATACACGCCACATCGAATGCATTGTCTTCTCTCCATCCAAACTCACTCCCTGTCTGGGTCATCTCTGAGTCCTCCTCTCCTGCACCCCCCTCATGCCTCTCGAAAGCAGAGGCTTCTATTATTGAGGCTCCCCTGAGTCCATCCCTCCCTAGCCTTATGCAGCTACTGTCCTGTCCTGGTTCACTGGGGACAGCGGCTGCAACTGACGTCTATCTCCACTCTTGAGTCTCTCTAACCTGACCCTGCGCCAGACTGTTTCTGTCCTTCTCACCCACACAGGTGGACAACAGCGCCACAAGAAGTTCAGATGGCGCAGAGGAAGGACCTCCTGGGGAAACCGTCTAATTGTTGAGAAACAATCACATCTTAGCAACCAAGCTGGGAATGTTCTACTTGGAATAGACACATACCTTCTATTCCAAAGAAACTCAACATGAAGGGTGGCTCCCTGTCCTAAGCATGACTCCTGGAAAGAAATGGCATTCTCATAACTTCTTTTTTTTTCCCCAAAGATTTATTTATTTAATACATATAGAACTGGGGTACAGGCCAAGGACTGGGTATTGGGGTGAGAGGATTCACCAGGGACAGAGTGGGAAGCAGAAGAGGCAGATGGACTGAAATACCCTGCTGAGGGAGCAACAGATGAGAGACAGAGGTCTGCTGTGCTATGTGGGTCAGCTCCCTGGCCAGGGATTGAACTCATGCTGCAGCGGTTGTGATAGTTTCATAGTGCTGTATTTTAACCTGCTGCACTACCAGAGAGGGCCCTCTCATAACTTCTTTAAAACTCCTGCCATAGTACTTAGTGAATAAATATTTCTGGGCCTTCCTGGCAGAGCCTAGGTTAAAGTATCAGAGCTATCAAGCTATTGCCAGCCACTGACCCACATGGACCAAAGACCTCTCCTGTCTCCCCGCTGCTCCCCTCAGCAGTGTATGTCAGTAGATCCGCCTGTTCTGCTCCCCACTCTGTCTCTGTTGAATCCTCTCATCCTTCGCATCTCTGGCGTGCACTCCAGCTCTTGTGTGTATAAATAAATAAATCTTAAAAAAATAAAAATAAACACATTACTTTTGTCATGTGAAAATGGTCCTTAAATATATCTTTTCAAAATGCATTTAAATCACTTGAAAAATTAGCAAATGGTCTATTAAGAGTAAGGAGGTTGGCCCTCCCTGGTGATGCAGCGGGTTAAAGCACAGCACAGAGAAGCTAAAGCCACTTCTGCATGAGTTCGATTCCCGCCTGCCCCGGAGGAGACCACATGGCGCGGCAGACCTCTCCTGACCCGCCCGCTGCTCCCCTCAGCAGTGTACTTCGTCCATCTACCTGTTCTGCTCCCCGCTCTGTCTCTGGTGAAGCCTCTCACCACCCTTGCATTTCTGGCCTGTACCCCTCAGTTCTGTATGCATAAATAAATAAATCTTTAAAAAAAAAAAAAAGAGTAAGGAGGTTTATACAGAAAGCCGAAACCAGGGGAGTTTGACAAAAATGTTTATTTTATTGTCTTGCTGCTAGGAACTGTGAAGGTGTTCAAGGTCAATCTAACATGATTGCTGACTTCCAAGAACATAGGAGGTATGAGTAAAAAACATGCAACAGAGTTATAACATAGGACAACATCTGCAATATTTTTTAAAAAGTATTTAGTTATGCATGTAAGAACTAGGGTACAGGCCAGAGGTATTTTTTCAGAACATTGTACTGCCTGTAACATTGCATGTGTTGGGCCTCCCCAGTGGTGCAAGGGGTTAAGTCTCAGCTCTATGAAGCTGTGTGCAGCCACTGCAGCACACATTTAATCCCCGGATGGGGAAATGACCCACAAGGTGCAGCAGACCTCTCCTGTCTCACCTGCTGCTCCCCTCAGCAGTGTACTCCAGTCAGTCAGTCCATCTGTTCTGCTCCCCACTCTGTCTCGGATGAAGCT